TCGATGTTATTATTTTCGTTATTTACGAGTGAATTAACATTGCTCGTAGTCCCACCTTTTCTTCAACTTAAATACCTACTGTCTCGTAAATAAACACCGACAATCATACAAAAAATAACAGAAGCATATGTATTTTCATAAAGCACTGTAAGAAATAGATATTACTATATCAATTTAAAGATCATCATACTACATCAATATGGCATCAATGAACATCAATGTGTCGTTTACAAAAGGAGAGATTACGTGCACTGTAACAAAAAGATCATACTAAATCAAAAAATAATAATGTTCCGTTTACCATAACCCACAAAATGTCCAAAACACGACAATTGATTTCAGGTTATCTTACATTAAAGTAATGTTCCACAAAACGTAAAAAAATGGTCTCGCCTACGAAACAATAACAATAGATAAATAATTAGTTTGGAATAATGCAATGACATTTGAGTGAGCAAGACATGAAAAGCTATCGCACTATTTGGGTAGACGAAAGTGTATTGTGATGAAGTTACCTTCTACATCCACCTCCATCGCGCCGGAAGCGGTCTGCGTGTCTTCGTTCTGAATTTCAGGTAGATCATTTTCTGGTTCGATTTGGACACACGTATGCCCTACATCTGGCACTACAACTAAAGCGGGAAGATGAGCATACATTCCACGTATGGTTAGTCAGTTTGAAACTAACTCAAAATTGAAACAAGCATAAACATGAGCTTACCATTCAATTCGGGGTGTTCGCCATCTAACGCGGCATCATGTTCTTCCGGCATGTAATCAGTGTCTAAGCCGAAGTCGTCGTCATAACCTGCAGATTTATACGGTAAGTCTTAAAATGACAAGCTTATCCCAACCCATCGTCTAGTACGTAAGTAGCTCCGCAGTTTAAATTCGAGTTTTTGAACACGTACCTCGAGGTTGTTGTAGGGCTTGCACAGGGTCGTTTCGCACATCATGTGGAGCTGCAGATGTGGTGGAAATGTGTGGCGACACTACTGTCGCTATAAATTCCTGGAGTCTATTGCACGTGGCCATGACGTGCTAGACTATTTCTAGTCTATGATCCAACAACATGTCCTCGATGTCAGATCTTGTCAACCCAATTTGATCCAACAACATGTCCTCGATGTCAGATCTTGTCAACCCATTTCCAATTTGTACACCCCGCTGTCTGGATATTGAGGGCGCACGATCAACATGGCTCTCTCCTTCCCCGCCATCTCCGCTATTGTCCGAACTAGAATCCTCATTGTCTTCAATAGAATTCCCTACATGATCACCTGCACCAGAAGCAATGTCGACCCACCCTCCACTGGTCTCATCACCGTCGTCTTCCTCTGAACTCGAATCCTGCCCACGTCATCCACTCTCCTCGGCATCGGCATCGGCATCAGCATGAAACTGCGTAGCCACCATAGTCGTTGCCAGGTCGTCCAGAACGGGCACGACATCATCATCAAATGGTGCAAGAGTTTAGATGTAGTGTTGGTTGAGCTCCAGCTCGGTTGGATGTAACGTTGCGAAAACATGCAGCTGTCCAAGAAGTAACAGTTTGTTTAGTGGAATTAAATGTCATCGAAAATTTTGGATTGAAAGAAACTAAAATTTTCACTAACTTCGAAGATGAAACGTTACCTTAACTTTCTTGAAGAATGCATCGTATGTACGATGCGGCGACTGTTTCGTGGCCGTCCAGCTGAGAATACGAGAGGATTGTTCACCTACCTGCTGACCAAACCGTTCGCCAATTTCAGGTATCGCTTCAAACGCCCATATCTACCACAGGATGGGTCAAACATAGTCAATGTCAAATTAAATACCCGACAGACTGGCATGTTAATAAGGAATTCAGCTCAAATTGAAAAATAACCCGTACCTGCATGGTTATGGGAAAGCCGTGAACTGTGTAAATGGTCTCCTTTTCATGCTTCCTCTTGGCATTGCGAAATTTGCGAGCAAATGAGCCCCGGAATCCCNCTTGTATCGATCTGCCCATGGGGTCGACGATCGAACTAATGTTTTCTCGATTAGGTCACAGGAAATCTTGTCCATAGATCTAAAATACTTGTCCTTTAGTCTCATTTTTTCCAGGACTCGATGAAACCGACCGTCCTCAGGCGGGACACCGCAACGTAGGCCGGTCACCACTGCATACTCTTGCAGTCCAAATCGGCAGTAGTGTCCTTGCACGTTGAACCACAATTCGTGAGACTTGTCTATTCGGATGCCTCTGAAGACAAGCTGTTGGATGAGCTGGGTAGAGAATTGGATGTTTGGAACATCGACCAAGAACCCAAGGGACGACTAGCAGAACTCTTGGCGTTGTCGTTCGTCGAAGTGCTCCAACACCCTTTCACGTAGGTCAGGTTACTTTGTTGTGAGATGTGTGCTCGCAACCTTGCGTCTTCAGGAACCAAGAATTCCAATTCCATCTCGTCTGCAATGAAAGCATAGCGAAAAATGATCAGCTAATTACACCTCATAAATGTAGAAGCCAATACACACGGATGCAAACAAATTGTACGTCAAACGTATAATGAGAAATGAAATTACTAAACATCGACAACATGATCAATCTGTGAAACGACATGTGACTCAAATATCATGAGAAATTGAACTTATGTTTATTTTATAAGACAGCCAGCTGCCGAGAATTACTGAAGCTAATTGTCGGGATTGACAGTTGACCAATAACAAATTGACTCAACTGCCGAGAATGTTTGAGGATAACTGTCGGGAACGACAGTTCGCCTATCCCTATTTTACCCAACTGTTGAGAACGATTGTAGCCAACTTCGAGAGCGACAGAACACATGTTGACATTGTAAAATCAGTGAATCTGGACTAGGCAAACTAACTACTAAGAAACGTGAAAATCAAGGTATATCAATGGCACCCCATTGTAAAATCAATAATAAAGCCGTGTTTTATGAAGATTGGGTCAAGCATTATGGTTATAGTTTAAAATGACAAGATGGCCGTATAAGCCAAATCAGTGAATCTGGACCAGGCAAGTTTATCCATCACATGAAGGCATCAATCATTCAACTGAAAAATGCATAATTAAATTTTATTCATCATAGTAAAAGCAACTCTAGGAAATAGCAATTTCAAACACCATACAATGAAAACCAAAACCAAATGTCAAGAAACGTGCAAGCATCAAGGTACAAAAATGGCAATGAAATGTAAATTGAATAACTGAAAAAATCACCGTAAGTCGTGATATTCGGAGCCTGAGGCGAACCTATAGAGTTGGGCCCTCGAAAACAACGTAAATGCAACATACTGCTAACTTAACATTGAACGGTAGAACAACAAACAAATAAAAGAACAAAACATATATTATGAAGTAACATAACCGACAACAATTCAAACTATGAGTTCCACATGGAGTATAGAAAGCTCGGGGATTCAATATTAAATTAGGGCAAGCCATTGCTTACTTGAAAAGTGAAAAATCGACGAAAATTATGGAATCACAAGTCACACCCTTCCGAACTCCACTGTCACATGCCTGAAATCAAAATCATATGCCTGTGCAATCAGATTCAAATTATTTTTATTTTTATTTTTTTGCATCATGAAAATCAATTTGAGTAAGAAAAGCTAAACAAAGCTCACACTGTAAACAAGAAAGCAAAGTGCAACTCAGTCGAATATTATACTTTGTGTGCCTCAAGGACGAGACTAAGTCCTCCTTTATAATGTCCAACGCGTAGTTAGACTTCAGAGTGCTTACCTTAGTTTCTTCCTACTGTATTTTTGTTTTTCAATGTTTTTTTCTCTCTTCTTTTCTTTTACAATCATTTCAATCTACCACCGAGGTAGCCCTATTTGTTACATTCTTTACTTGTATCTAAGTTTTGACAAACCACATCCTTGTAATATCACAGTTCGCATTGAGAGACTTCATTTTATTTATGTTTTTAATCACACCTATTTATTAATACAATCTCCATTTAATTCACAAATAATCAATGCAAATTAACTATCATATCACTGTCCTCGAGTTTTTGTTAAGGATAACATTAGCCACTCATAATCCCTTAAAGCACAATTCATTAATGCAATTGTAGCTTACACTAGTTAGGAAAACTCTCTATAATACAATCCAACATCATCTCAACCGTCACTCTTTTGTATGACAATAGCTTTAACCCCACTAGCTGGAAATTTTTTTATTTAAATAGATGGATAACATCCATGAAATATCTGATATAAAAGTTCTAGGGTTTCATAAATCTAGTATCACCAGACACAAGTTCTTACCCAGTCCCAACATAATGCAATCATGATGATGCATCCAACACCTATTTTTTTCTTCCAACAAACAATTCAAGAACCTAACTCAATCTCCATTTTTAATCAGTGGAGGTGTAGTGTACACTAGCAAATGGAACGTGGCACAACAAAAAAAAAATTATATTTTACATTAATATTGGAACAAATAGAAGCAGAAAAGGAAAACATAGACATGAAAGTATAGTAGTACATTCCTTTATCAAAATTCCACCATAAGATACAACTGTAAACATAAATGCCGAGTGTCAGTTTGCATTTGCATTCCCAATCAACTACCAGGAACACATTCACTAGCACAATATGTCCATTTGAATCTCAACCTATAGTAGTACATTCCTTTCTCAAAATTCCACAATAAGATACAATTGTAAACATAAATACCAATTGTCAGTTTGCATTTTCATTCCCTATCAACTTCTAGGAACACATTCACTGGCACAATATGTCCATTTCAATCTCAATTAGTTGGTAGAACTCAGAAGCTTTATCATAGCTCAAAAAGTAGAAATTGATACAAAATGACTCCTACCAATGTCATTATGAACTTTATTCTTTTTCTAATGACAAAAATGCAAGTCATCTCAAGTTTTATTTAGAATATAGAGTGATATCAAGCAATGCACAGGAAATCGATTACTTGTATTTCTATTGAAACCAATTGTCTATCAAGCAATCCAGTAAATCCACTACCTTCTTCACAGTTTCACCATCACACCACCACCACTAGCATAAACACAGCACAAAGTCTCATTCAATTCCATGGCGTCCCTAATCCTGGCCTCCCTCAATAGACCCCTGTAAATAAACACCCTTATATTATCCCCAACCTCAACCACCAAATTCTCACTGACCATCACCCTCAAAACCCTCAACCCCTCCAATAAGATGTCTTTATTGCAAAACCCATCAACCATAACAGAATAAAACTCAAAATCCATAACCAACCCGCCAGGAAAATCACGCGATTCAGGCAAAAAAGAGAAGGAATAGATAGAAAACAGAGTTAATACCATAGGCAAGCAGTGGCGTGGCACGATGGCGGACGGTGGACAGTGGACGGCTGAGAGAGAAGCAAGAATCAGACCGTCGATGGTGGGTTTCGCCGTTTCCATTTCTAGTGCGTGGAAGTAAGGAAGACGGGAATAGGAAATCAGGTATTAAGAAAAAAAATATGAGGCCCTTTAATTTTTAGGCCCAAGGCCTGGGTCGAACTTTCTTGCTTTCGCCAATGGTGGATGGATGGTCGGACTCCCAAATGAAAATTTCAATTAGGGCTGTTTGTGTTTTGCAAATGACAATTATTTCCCTCCCTTTTATTTTTTTCCTTGTTTTGACGTTTTGGAGTTGACAAATAGTACAAATTTCATATGGAGTCAAATCTCAATTAATGGTGGACATGTTAGGTATTAAAATTATGCAGGGGGTAAAAATGTCAAAAACTGACATTCTTGCAACTAATTTAAAAATGTGACATTTTCATAATTGCATGATAGCAAAATGATACCTGGTGCAATTTCCTCTATTTTTTGGAATACTAGTAGACACTTGACTAAATTAAAGTTCTGTAAATGATTCTTGAAAACTTAAAGTGATCAGAATATGGTTTATTTTCCAACAATTTATATTTCTATTGAGTAATAAAACTCCACACTATTTCACTCACAAAATATCTGCACTTTCTTATGATCCTATGATGAATCTTTGATGATATTAACTATGAATCATGTCTTAAGTATATGAAACTATTTCACGGCTGTGATTTTGCTCTCGGTCTCATGATTCTCGTGTTATAATTCACCACTTATTTTAATGGTTATAATTTAGAATATGATAATGCCACACCGTATGTTATATTTAGATAAATGTTATCTATGGTACATATGACTCATTATTGCCGGACATTATTATTGTGATTACATCTAAATGAAAGAAAATTTTCATCTCTAATGGGTTCCCTCTATAATTCAAATTCTATCTCTAATGTATAGTTAATAGGAGAGAAAAAAACAAAAAACACGAGAAGAAACATGGAAGAGAGAGAGAAATGTAAAATTGGTGACTCACTCCTAAACAATCATCTTATAATGTCTACTTTTTTCTTGCCACTCATGCTTCTCATTATCCGGAAATGTTGTATTGGAGATGAACTTTTGTAAACATTTATTATTAGGATCTTGCTACATGTACATCAAAATTTAAATAATGGATTACATAATGTCACATGAGACTCTACCATTTGTCAATTTAAAACACAATCAACTTTTTCATCCAATTATTTTCCTCCACATCATATTATGTAATCCATTATGTAAATTTTTTATGTACAAGTAGCAAAATCCTTATTATTTTAACTTGATAAAATTTTAGAGCGATCAACAATAGCATTTGCGATGGTCTAAAAGAGCTTTCCAAGCAGACAAGATTGGGCACACTTTAACACAAGTTATTATACTACTTTGAAGTCGGTTCTTGAGTTACTTATGCATATATAAATTAATATTAGAAACTAGAATGTACGACTGGGAATGTTTTTTTTTTCAATGAATTTCTTATGCCTGTTCTCCACTTGAACACTACTATGGGTTATGCTTAATTGTTTATTGAGCTATAGTTGTATGCATATATTCTTTAAATAGTTTAGAAATAGTTCAATTTAGTTAAGAATCAAAATATTGATTGATCCATGTAAATTTAAATCAACGATTTCAAAATTACGATTTCTATTGATTCAATGGGGGAGCTTTTCACCCCTACGCAGAGCCACACATGTTGCTAGGCAATATCTACAAAAATCGAAAATATTATATTGCTTAGTTTACTATGAAATCGATTTTTCTTTTGACATTTCACATATGATTATGTTTTGCTCAACTTAAATATAAGTACATGTTATTTTTAAATAAATTTATATTTTCAAACAGGTATTAATAAATTATATTTTCTTATTTTAAGAAAAAAAAAGTTATTTAAAAAGTTTGCTCATTAGTACACAAGGATAAAAGTCAAAACTAAATTATTAAACCCTTTTACTTCATTGCATGCTGTCAAGTCTTAACTTAAACTTGGTTCTTCAATAAATTAGTATTACTTGGTGGTAACTGTTCAAGCTTCAATGTGTTGTAGAATTGACAATATCAATATTATCAAGATAGATATTTGGTCTATTATTATCAATGTTTTGAAAACCGGACCGGGCATCGACCCGGAAATTAAAAAGGGTCAAGGGTCAAAGGGTCGAACCGGGGTCGAACCGAAAATATTTAAAAAATTAAAAAATAAATGAATAATTAATCCAAAAGGTGAATAATGTCAACAACATGAAAACTTGAATAGTTAAAATTTCAAACTTGCTAGTTTTGCATCATCTACCACCAATAAAAAAATGCCTATGTAATAATTGAATTCAAAAAGTCCACTAAATATAAATGATTAAATAGTTAAATTTCTTCTTCATCGTTTTCATCTATAAGCTTTAATCCTTGATCACTTCCACGGTCATTTGAACCACCAAAACGAAGAAAAACATCCAATGCATCTAAATCACCAATCTCTGGATTATGAAGTTCGTCATTATTTCCATTGTCATCTAAAACACAAACATAAGAATAAATATATTAGATAAAGATACATGACTAATATAATCAAATAAAAAAAAATAATGAGTTAAGATTGTTAAACTTAAAAACCTTGAACATAAGCATCGCTTTCATGATCATTAACATTTGGAAGTGCATCTTCTTCATCTATAACATTATCTAATTCTTCATACTCAAGATCTTGAGGTGGTACTTCTTCCTCTATCCAAAAGTTTGTCTTGTCAATACACTCATAATCAACTGGATCATAAGATCTCTTCTTATAATAAAGTCTATCAGGTTATTCATGAGAAGTAGTTAGATAAAGGAACATATTAAAAAATACATGAAACACTAAAATAAACTCGTGACTAAAGAGTAAAGAGTTTGAGATTATATACCTATTCTTCATTCGCAAATTATAAGTAACATAGACAAGATCATTGAGTCTTTGATGTTCCAATCTATTTCTTTTTTTGGTATGAATACGTTCAAATACACTCCAATTCCTTTCACATCCCGAAGAAGAAGCTATTTGACCAAGAATTCGAACAACTATCTTTTGCAAAGTAGGAGCACTAGATCCACACAATTTCCACCATTCATCTACATATTTTACAAAAGTTAATTTGAAGCACTAAGAAGTAAGAACTATACTAAATAAGTACGAATAAATAGTAAATAACTAAATTTAAATGCTCACCAGGTTGTAATGATTTTCTAGTATTACAAGCAGATTGCCTTCCAAAACTTCCTTCACGTTCTCGATACATCCTTATCTCTCCCATTGCTTTTGCCTCATCGCTACAAATATTTTTTATTTCAAGCAAATTGAATAGGCCTTGCATGACTTCTACTTTTTGACAATACAATTTCCCTCCATTCAGGTATTTTTCTCAACCAAGACAAAAAAATTGTGTGATTATACACAAATATTGTAATCTTCGAAGCACGTAATGCAAGGGAATGTACATTAGGCATACTACTAATATCTTTCAAAATAAGATTTAAGCAATGTGCAGCACAAGGAGACCAAAAAATGTGATCATATTTGTCATGCAATAACTTCCCAGCTGCCACATAGTTAGCTGCATTATCCGTTACCATATGAACCACATTACGAGGTCCAACCCATTCAACTATCTCGGAAAACAAATTACACAATGTTTGAGCATCTTTCACTACATCATACAAATACAATTCCAGAAGAGCAATATACTAAAAATTAATCAAAGTTATATGCCTTTGATCACTCAAAATTACAAATACAATTCCAGAAGAGCAATATACTAAAAAATTAATCAAAGTTCTATGCCTTTGATCACTCCAACCATCGGCCATAATTGTGCATCCATTATTTAACCACTGGGTTCGATAAGTATCAACAAGTAACTGACATTCTTTCTTGCAATCTCTTAACAAATTAACACGAATGTCATTATAAGATGGTCCTTTAAATCCTGGACCAATTGCAGCAGTAGCATCTAAAGCAAGTTGAAAGTATGGTGATTGTAAAGCATTAAATGGAATGCAAGCATCATAAAACCACCTAGCCCAAGCCATATGAGCTCTATTTATTGCTTGTTTACCAGCTAAAACACTCTTTATACCAGGCTGAGATCCAGGGGTAGTCCTTGGAGCAAAATATGTTTCAATCTTGTCACTAGCTTTCCTCTTCCCCTTTTCTTGCCTTTGTTTTTCTAAAGACACATGTGTTTCTTGAATGTCCTCTTCTATTTCCTCTCCTCCAATTTCTAAATCTACATAATTATCCCCAAAAGCACAATCATGAGCCTCTTTAGCATCTTGTTTCTTTTGAGATATATCCTTAAGAACTCCTTGAAATTTAAATCGAACATCAAAAGGAACTTTCTTACATTGAGATATTTGACCTTTAATTCCAGTAAGATGGTATTTCATTCTATTAATTCCTCCACCTTTAAAGCTATTTTTGCAATAAAGACATGTGTAACGAACTTTACCATCAATATCACGACTAGAAGAGAAGTGTTCCCACGCAGGATCAGTCTTTGCACGGCTAGGTGTGGAACCTATATATTGTCTTTCCAAAGATTGAGTATTTCCGTCCATCCTAAGGAAAAGAAATTAAAAGAACCATAGTTAGACAGAGTACAATTACCGGTAACATTCTCAGAGCAACAAACCAAGTAAGGCAGGGGAAAAAAGAACAAAACTCAAGTTCCTTCATTAAATAAGAAAACATATTCCTAATCAAATATGAAAACTGTTATTACCTACAAAATATGAAAATTCTGGTTCACGTTTTCAAGGTGTTTAATTCACCTAATTATTGGTTAGTCAGTAGTTACCACAATGTTTTGAAAACAGAATTATTGGGTAACAGTTACCAACTTTTGTAAGTATGAACTATAAAATATTAAAAATTAAAAACAGAACCTACAACAATTGTAAAGGTGTTCTCCCCCGTCTAACCATCAGAGAGATCTTAAATCACAGAACCAATTGGGGGAGTGGTCACGTGAGAGTCGGCCGACATGCCCAAAGAGCTAGAAACA